ACTGAGACTAAGTACTGGGAGCAAACAGTGGTGGTCACGTGACCTTCCAACAGACATAAGTGTATGATTTGGTCGTGGCTGACTCTAATAGGCCTAAATTCATGTACACCGAAAGAAATGACAGTTTGGGACTTTGTGTTATTCATGATATACTTATGTATGCGTTTCTCGATGATGCTTTTGCGAGCCCTTATATCAAATGCCCTCGAGACATCTGGCGTCTGACAAAGATACCGGAACATCGCCAAAGCACGCCCATCCATTTTAAAGAAGGCTTGGGGGATATTCCTGTCTTAAGACGCGCTATGCGAACGGACAACGGGAGTTGGGTCACAAACCCAGAAAATGCTCTTCTATGCAGCCAAGCGCAGAGCTGGGAGCAAACTGCCTGTGAAAAGGCCGGTTTTCCGGATAAAGGGTCGCTTTACAAATACCGCAAAGGGGCAGCGGTAAACCTGAGTATGTATTAGAAAAGATGCTGAATTGATGAGCAAAGATTTTAACCACTTCACAGGGCACCTCGACGAGCATTCACGAAATGCAGTTATGGGTCATCGAAAAGGTGGCACATTTGCAAGTTATGTCTCTGTGCTAGACGATACTCAATCTATTTACATGGGGACTCCAACTAGGGATTCGTTACTTAACCTCGCGATCCATGCAAATCTAAAACGGGATGCCTCCGCGCCTCAAGACCTGACAATTGAGCAGAAAAAGTCTCTTGAAATGGATAGCGAACTTCGGGATTTGAGAAAGGCGCAGAAGTCGCTCCGGATCACTCTCATTGCAGAGTTTCGCCGCCTACAGAAGGCCCGTGAAGCCAATGACGCGCGTTGGCATGAATTTACACGACTGCAAAACAAGATCTGGGCACGACAGAGAAAATTATACAGAAAAGCCAAGAAGACCGCTCGTGATGAATTCTTCCAAAATATTGGGAACCAGATCATAGAGCGCAACCATCAGGGGAATCCCATCATCTTTACACCAGATACCTCTCATATACAGCCGGAGAGAAGAGCTCTTTCACACCTCGAATTTAAGAACAGAGATGTCGATACCGTCGGTGATACCGAGTTACTTGAAGATCGCATTCAGTCCCTAGAACTACGACTCAAGCTCCACAGTCTTCATGTACCTAAGACATTGAAAAAGCGGATCAAATTCGGTCAACACGTGTCAAAAAAGGCCGGGGCAACTGAAGATTTCCGATGGAAACACCCAAAGAAAGCTGGGACCGATGGGGGATTGCTTCCATCAAAAAGTTCTACTGGCCTTGAATGTCCGGTGTGTCTGGGGCGCCAGGATCTACATCCTTCCGCCAGAACCTACCCGTATGCACGCAAGGATGTGCTGAAACGTCATTTCGAGACCCACAAATTACCATTTGTATTCAAGAGAGATGATCGGCAGTGTGATTATCCCGGTTGCCCGGAGGTTCTGTTTACACTGGCGCGATACAAAATTCATCTTGAAGATGATCATAATATTAGCCTGTGAGTATTCAAGCTCATCATTATCTGAGTTTATTTCTGGCTAGTTTTAGATTGACCAATATATCGTTCCTTTGTACAAAGTTGTTTTCTGAACACTAGACCTAAATCTTTAACAAGTAACAAGAGGATTACCTACACAGGGATAATAATGCTAGAACTCACTAATGTTATCATAATATGGAAGCTTGGAGACAGGGAAGTAATTTTACTGTTAATTTAAGCTTATCTGGATTGTAAGGTCCATAGGTTTGTCTCAGGATTGAAACAAGGTAACGAGATATCAGTATATGCTGCAGCTGGAGTCAGCTGGGATTTAAAGCTGCTCTCATCCCTCCTCCCGTGGAAAAAGAAACAGGGACCATTTTGGCATATAGTAAAGGCCTCATTTGGTGAGAATGTTTTGAGAGAAAATGCACCATCGACAACTCGAGCATACCATCGGTCGTCAAGATCTTCGATCCACTTATGTGCTTGATTCGCGGTTTCCGCCCGAAAAAATAGCACCTCACTCGTGGCTATGTCAAAGAATATGATCCCATTATAAGGAGGAAGTTTTGTAAATGCTGCGTAGAAATCGTCGGGAGTCATGTTGACAGTACATTTGCAAACAATAGGCGTCATTTCCGAAATTCGAGTGACTTGATTTGATTGAGTTGGAACAGTACCTTGCACAATATGGGGCGGGTGACTTAAGACCTCCGTGCCAAGGTCAGTTGACTGAACAGGGGCCGATTGATTGTATACAATGGGTTGATCACTGCCCACCATTCCAGTATCTTCGGTGTCTTGTAAGACTGTTGGCGGGGCTGTCTCCCTATCAAAAATTTGACCACCTGCATCCTGCTCCCGCATTTGCTCCATGTCGGTCAAATGGGGATCAGAGAAGAAAGATCGAAAAATATCCCGTTTGACTGCAAAAGATGTCATGTTCTCTTGAATTGTATGATCAGGCGAGTAGATATACTCTAAGAATAAGTATTTTTGATCCAGAAAAAACTTTCTGTGTCTGTCATTCCGCAGCGGCTCTGAAGACTCCAGTCCTCAGACCTATCGCAAGTCTGAATAGGAACCGGTATCGTAGCGACTCGAGGAGTCATAGAGCCAAGAAACGAGGCGACTTTGGTGCTCCACTCGGACATTTGATTTTCCTCGTATTCGAAGAGCTCAGGCGGGCGAAGACGGGTAAGAAGACTGAGAATAGCAGTAAACTCCAAGTAATTTGTACCGGGATTGAATTTAGACCCTGGTATAACAAATCCAATCTTGCTTATGAGAAGTCTAAGGCGCTGCCATAGTTCAGATCGATCGAGGCATCGGGCCCTTGAACTTTGACTGAATCCAAGGGGCTGCGAGTCAGTCATTCCACAGAAGTGACGCATAGCGAAAAGAAATAGCTGACGATATGCAGACCAAAAGCCAAAATCTTTCGGGCCTACTTTCTGCACAAATTTGTTTTCTAGAGACTGTATGTAAAATTGCTGGTTCCTGGGTGCCACATAATAACGAAACATGGCCTGACGAATGGTGCCTTTGAAATTCACCGGGAGAATCTTTTTAACAACGTCAGTCATTGCTTTGAGATATTTCGTGTTCTCCAAAAAAGTCCTGAGGGACGGAATTATCTTTCGATAACCTAAGACAGCATGCTGCATTTTCGACCGCAGAGTTGGGTTATTCACCATCGAAAATGCCGAGCCATCTTGGAAAGCATTTTTTATGTATTGGTAGTCTGCCATTGACAGACGAGGACAGCGTCCTTCTAGCATTGCAAGAGTTGAGGGGTCAAGAAACTGTGAATTTTGGCAGGTGAAAGATTGCCAAGCGGAGCGAATCTCTGCTAAGAAATCCGAGAGCTCCTATAGAACAGTGAAGTTAGTTGGGTAGAATATTCTATTAAGCATTCGATTCCCTACCTCTGGACATTTGAGACTTGGGAGATGGGTTCCCATATGCCACGGGGTCCATAAAGCGGGAAAACAAAGAAGCGCATCCAGTCTTCTTCCCAGGCAGCGGAACTCATCTTGGCTTTTTCCCTTCGGCTCGTAGATCCGATTAAATTCACCGCATTTAGTCGGCGACCATCTTGCAAGCCACTCTTTAGCAGCATCTATTTCATCCCTTTGCTGATAATGGCGGATGTTTCGAAATATTTCTCCATCAGTGAAAGTATGCGACCTGGAGTCGCATTCTCGCAGTCTCCTTCGGCAATCATCACTCAGCCTTTCGGCGTCGTACAGATTGAAAATCCACCACGTATTACTAGGGGCTAACCATTCACGAGCAGCAGCAATTTGATGCTTTCCTTGGAAGCAATGCAAGTTCCAATCGTCTGGCAAGATAATCTCTTTAGGGTCGCCGCTGCTCAAGCTAGAAACTAGCGGCTGGAGTTCTGAGAGTTTTATCTCACAGGGAATCCAAGTAAGTGGATCTAACCTACGACAGCCCTCATAGTCAAATCGATGCAGAAGGCGATCGACATTGGATTGTTTGAAGGCCCGAGAACCGAATATGTCGACGTCGTCGAAGAGAAGCTGATCCAGCTGATGGACCTTGACAGAGCCGATTTCAGCTGCCGACAGCTGCCGAGCGATTGTCAAGTCGTCAGGTGTCATAGAGACAAGAAATTGGCAATAAAATTGCTTTTAGATAAGATTACATAGGAAGGGTAAACTTTGCCGGGAAAGGATTAATTATAGCCGCCAGCTACGGGGTTCCGGGCAGGTGGGAAAATCGTGGCCTTAATGATAACCGGCGTTGCGCTTATCTCATCTTGTAAACGTGGTTGGGAACTAATAAGGTAGGAGAACGCATGTAAGCCTGCATCTCTTGATCGAACTTTTCGTGAGACGGTCCATGGTTTTCCCTCCTTCTAGACTAACGCACGTAGGCCTATATCTCTTGATCGAACCTTTCGTGAGATGGGCCATGGTTTTCCCTCCTTCTAGACTAACGCATGTAGGCCAATATCTCTTGATCGAACCTTTCGTGAGACGGGCCATGGTTTTCCCTCTGCTAGACTATCGCACGTAGGCCTA